CATGGTGATCATATCCCCCCTTAATCTCGTCTTCACAAGAGAGAATACATTCAGTTCCTCTAATCGTTCCTCATAGCTGAGAAGTTAATGTCATAATGTTCTAGTATACATTGCATTCTAGCGCATTATGAAAGACTTCTGTTAAAAATAAGCCTTTCAGCGACACGCTGTCAATGCTGGCAGGGCTTCCATTTTCACCCGGTTTACCTTCTGGGTTCGTGGGCCCAGGCCGTGTGAGTGGCCGAGCCGTGATGGTGGAACTTTCAGAGCAAAGTGCATGTGCACCGGTGACGTCACTGGCTGCAGAAAAAGTGAATGTCTCCTAAACAGAGCATGTTTAGGAGATATTCCTTTCACCTACAGGTAAGCTTTATTATACTGCAAGCGTTCCTATAGGTACAAGTGAGCAAGCGCTGTTTACTACCACTTTAAATGTTACCTACTTCTCTGACAAATATGCGCTTAACTCATTTAAATACCTAGTAAGCAATGACTGTGAACTTCTGAGTACTGTGATGCTATTGTGAAGCGCTCTCTGAAAAGGAGGACACTTGTCAATGTTGGACTGATCTTGTCTGCTGTAGATACGATCCCAAGGAGCCTGTGTCTGTGTGCACATCCTCCCGTCCCCAGACAGGCTTGTCCACACGCAGCATGCTGTTCTAAGCACATGGAGGAAAGCTGCTAGCAGGCTGTTTGTGTAAGCCTTAAATGGCATGCACGCTGGCAGGGGGCGGATTTTAACGTTGGCACCGCTCCAGTTAATTTCCCGGCAAAATAGAGAAGGTGGAGGGAGGGCTGGGGAGTTGTGAAGGGGAAGTATGACGTGTTTGCTGACACGTGTGTCTGTCCCCACTGTGGAGACAGGGAGGGGGATGTTTCTTAAAGGTGCCATTCCGCCGTGGTTTGCAGCAGAAAAAAATTGTGAACGCTGCGGCGAAGAGCTCTTGCTTGAACTTGAACCTTGCTTTTAGGATTAACACAACAACATTGCTTCATTTCCAGAAACCGTGTCACATGACAGTTCTCTTAGAACTGAAACTCCTTTTTTTGGGGGGTTTTTTTTTTTTGCAATGTGTATGTAAACTCGGAACAATGATCTTCTCTTATTTGCTCGTGTTTGGTTTGTTAAATATACAGTTGAAAGTGTTTTGTTTGATAAATGCAAAAAAAATGACCTATCAGATATATATGCTGTACTGTTATCCTTTAGTTTTGTTTCAAAGCCTCTCTGTGATCTACAACCCCCTCCCCCCCATGTTATGGAGGGAGTTGGTGTACTGTAGTTATCTACTAGGGTGACTATGCTGCTTCTCCATACAGTACAGTGAGCAAGTGTTGTCACCCTTGGACAGGATGTATCGCTGTGTAAAAATAGATAATAAAGTTTTGGTTTGATGCTAGTGTTTTAATTTGTCATGGAATTTCTTGCATCTCCCAGGGCTCTAGCAATATTTTGGGCACACTTGGTTTTCCAAATTTGCTTCTCTTTCAATAGGATTTTCACTTTTCCTGTGGGATCACTATTTGTTAACATACCTAATATTAGATACAGTAGTGTCATTACTAGGTCTCTGTGTCTCGCTGTGCAGTGCATGCAGATCATGGCTAATGGATGGGGTCAGCAGGGCGCCATCAGAGCACCCTGCCTCTGTACTCCACTCAAGAGCCCTCAGTCCTGATACAAGCAGTGGGCTGGCTCTTGGGAAGAGTTATGCTAATAACAAAATGTCTTGATAGAAGGGTGACAATCTGGAGGAGTGAGCATTCTTATGTCCAGGGCTTGCCTAAGAGCATCCTGATGTTGAGCCTCCCATCTTTGAAAGACCAGGAATCTAGTAATTGAGCTGGGGTGTCAGGGACTCTAATGCCTCGTACACACTATAAGAAAATCGTACGAAAATTTTCATACGAGGTCCGATAATCCGATCGTCAGTACACAGCTTTCGAGAGCCGATCACAATTCATACGACAATATCCAAAGGGACAAGCGCAAAAATTTTTCTCGTACGACACCAGATTGCACAATTTTCGTTTAATCAGTACAGTAGTCGTCTGAAAATACAATACAAATACAATGCAATACATGACATCACTTTCAAATTTCTTTTCTTTCAAAGGAGAATTTTTGTATCTTTAGTAACCTTTTCCCTTTCGATGTGAGACTAGCAGGCGAAAAAAAACAGCCGATCGTTCGTCCGATATTCTCATCGTGTGTACGGGGCTTAAGGCTGAGGAGGAAAGGGCAATATGATCCTGAAGGTCCTTCAGCCAAGAAATGAGGCGGCTCTAGCTGACTAGCTGCAGTTTTTAATGCATACTGGGAGAAGCTCACATATAATATTATGTATTTGGGGAGATTTTCCCTTTTTTCCAGGCCTGGTGACAACATGTTGCAAGAAATATTTCCAACAGGGCCATAGACTGCAAAATAAAGATGTCAGGGGTTTTAGCCCTCTTCTGTTGTACATAAAGGAAAGAGTGTTTTTACTGTGGTCTGTGCCCATGTGAGGGCATAGACCCCCGTTGGGTGGTTTGCCGTTCCAGCTTAAAATTCTTGCATTTTTTTGGACAGCCTGTGTTTTGGGCATTCGTTCCTGAATGCATATGGCACTAAGTGCGAGTAGTACTAAGTAGTGTGTCCGGCCTCTACATAGTTAACCTATCATAGATTTGGACAGGATGTTGCCAGCCGGGGCTGGACGCTGCACTTGTACTTTCTGGGTACCTGAAAACCTTGTCAAACCATCCATGGGTACGAGGCTTTAAGGATCTTCTTTACTTCCTGCCTATGGCCACACATCACTAGGACAAGAAGTCAGAGAGGAACTATTCAATTTTGGCTGGAGACCACGATTTACATTTTAGGGACTTGACTCTTTTTTTCAGATTCTCATTTGTCTTTGAACCCTTTTGAGAGATTGTTCATGTTCTTGTGACCCCAATATATTTGAATTGGGGGGGGCGAGTATGGACAGTAGTAAAAATATCCCCTACTTCAAACGTGTTTGTGTCCCATTGGATAGAGGTTCTGATTTGATAGGAAGACACAGACCGCCTGATAGGATCTTTTACCCCTTCTACTACCAATTAAAAACAATTGGGGCATTGATATATAGTCTTTCAAAAGACACATTTATCAGTGCAGTTGGAACCAATACTTAAAATCTACATACTAAAAAGCTAGTCCATGGCCGAAGACACTTAGTCTGCAATTTCCCTTATTCGGTGGTATTACTTCCACATTGTCAGTTTAAAAGCATTTTCAAAAGCTGGCCTGCTGGCATAGACCTCAGCTAAGCCCCAGTTCCTTCAGACCTCAAATCAGATCCAGTTCCTGAACCTTCAGACCTCCATTCAGCCTCAAAACTCCAGCACCTTCAAACCTCATATCAGACCCAGTTCCTTTACCTTCAGGCCACAGATCAGAACCAGTTCCTGTATCTAGACCTCAGATCAGACCCAATTCCTGCACCTTCAGACCTCAGATCAGACCCAATTCCTGCACCTACAGACCTCAGATCAGGCCCAATTCCTGCACCTTCAGACCTCGGATCAGGCCCAATTCCTGCACCTTCAGACCTCGGATCAGGCCCAATTCCTGCACCTTCAGACCTCGGATCAGGCCCAATTCCTGCACCTTCAGACCTCGGATCAGGCCCAATTCCTGCACCTTCAGACCTCGGATCAGGCCCAATTCCTGCACCTTCAGACCTCGGATCAGGCCCAATTCCTGCACCTTCAGACCTCGGATCAGGCCCAATTCCTGCACCTTCAGACCTCGGATCAGGCCCAATTCCTGCACCTTCAGACCTCGGATCAGGCCCAATTCCTGCACCTTCAGACCTCGGATCAGGCCCAATTCCTGCACCTTCAGACCTCGGATCAGGCCCAATTCCTGCACCTTCAGACCTCGGATCAGGCCCAATTCCTGCACCTTCAGACCTCGGATCAGGCCCAATTCCTGCACCTTCAGACCTCGGATCAGGCCCAATTCCTGCACCTTCAGACCTCGGATCAGGCCCAATTCCTGCACCTTCAGACCTCGGATCAGGCCCAATTCCTGCACCTTCAGACCTCGGATCAGGCCCAATTCCTGCACCTTCAGACCTCGGATCAGGCCCAATTCCTGCACCTTCAGACCTCGGATCAGGCCCAATTCCTGCACCTTCAGACCTCGGATCAGGCCCAATTCCTGCACCTTCAGACCTCGGATCAGGCCCAATTCAATTTGCACCTTCAGACCTCGGATCAGGCCCAATTCCTGCACCTTGACCTCGGATCAGGCCCAATTCTTGCACCTTCAGACCTCGGATCAGGCCAATTCTGCACCTTAAGACCTCGGATCAGGCCCAATTCCTGCCTGCACCTTCAAACCTCGGATCAGGCCCAATTCCTGCACCTTCAGACCTCAGATCAGGCCCAATTCCTGCACCTTCAGACCTCAGATTAGACCCAATTCCTGTAGCTTCAGACCCAATTCCTGCAGCTTCAGACCCAATTCCTGCACCATCAGAATCACGGGAGGAAGAGGGTAACCAGGTAGGCTTCTTCACATAACATCTGCAGGGATGAGTGCAGGAATATCTGTGCCTCAGACAAGCCTCTGAAATGTCATGGAGGTTGGTAGGCCAATGGGTTCAGCCTAGTGAGCTGTCAATAATGACCTTTGGCCCTTGGCAGTTCAGTCTGAGCCTGTGTGCATACCACGTGTCCATCTTCCAGGTACCAATAAAAATCATATTGCATGCACATCCTAGCACATGTAGCTTAGGTTGATTATCCCTGCCATAGCACATACTGTATACAGATATGCTCAGCTGTGTATAAACCACACATATTTGTTAGAGTTATCACTTCAGCTTTTCTGGAATAAGAACATGATGTGCAAAGTGAAGCCTTTCCAAGGAAAGCAAGTTCTGCATAGTCAGTGGAAACTTACGGATCTTTTCCTTCTTTCTCAGAGTCTGAAAAGGAAAGAAAAGGAATACGAGCACGAAATGGAACGTTTGGCAAGAGAGAAAATTGCTACACAGCAGCGATTAGCCGAATTGAAGAATGAACTTAGCCAGTGGATGGATGTTATGGAGATTGACCGAATTGTGCGTCAAACTGTTCAGCCAGAGGACGACCAGGCCTCAACCTCCACAGCCTCAGGTAACCACTATCGGGCCTTCAAAATGACATATTTTTCCTTGTTTCATATTAGATTACAGAATGAAAGAGGGAGGCTGATTTTGTTACAGAAAATTATTTAACGCAGTCACAAGATCGATGGTGCTTACAAACCTAGCACAACAGTTGTTTATCTGACCACTGTAGCGTTCTTTAACTGTGTATATCACATTAAGTTCAGCTGCCCCCTACAGTCTGTTCTTTAATATTACAATTTGAGCTAGCTAAATTCCAGGAAAATCGTTTGTATCAATGGTTATTGCGTTTTATTTATATAAGTGACCACTCATTATCGGTGACTGTAGAGACGTACACTATATTGGCAAAAGTATTGGGATGCCTGCCTTTACACGCACATAAACTTTAATGGCATCTAAGTCTTAGTCCAAAGGGCTGAATATTGAGTTGGCCCACCCTTAACAGCTTCAACTCTTCTGGGAAGGATGTCCACAAGGTTCAGGAGTGTGTCTATGGGAATATTTGACCATTCTTCCAAAGTACATTTGTGAGGTCAGGCACTGATGTCGGATGAGAAGGCCTGGCTCTCAGCCTCTGCTCTAATTCATCCAAAATGCATTCTGTCGGGTTGAGGTCAGGACTCTGTGCAAACCAGTCCAGTTCCTTCACCCCAATCTCACTCATCCATGTTTTTATGGACATTGCTTTGTGCACTGGTGTGCAGTCATGTTGGAACAGCAATGGGCCATCCTCAAACTGTTCCCACAGAGTTGGGAGCATGAAATTGTCCAAAATGTCTTGGTATGCTGATGCCTTAAGAGTTCCCTTCACTGGAACTAAGGGGCCAAGCCCAACCCCTGAAAAACAGCGCCAAACCATAATACTCCCTCCACCAAACTTTACACTTGGCACAATGCAGCCAGGCAAGAACCGTTCCCCTGGAAACCGACAAAACCAGTATACAATATACAGTTATTGGGATTTTTTTTTTTTAACCAAAGACCTGTAGCAGAATACATTTTTGCCTAAAGTTATGAAGAAATGTTTGTTTTTTTTAATTGGATGTTTTTTTATAACAGAAAGTAGAAAATATTGTTTTTTTTGTTTTTTTTTCCCCCTAAAATATTTGGTCTTTTTTCATTTATATAATAAAAAACAAGAAAACACAGTGGTGATCAAATACCACCAAAATAAATCTGTGTGTGTGTGATTAATTTGCGTACAGTGTTGTATAACTGCACAATTGTCAGTTAAAGTAGCACAGTGCCACAAAAAATGGCCTGGTCATGAAGAGGGTAAAACCTTATGGAGCTTACGTGGTTAAAGTGATTGTAAATGTTGGATTTTTTTTTTCTTATAACAACAAACTTGTCATACTTACCTGCTCTGTGCTCTGGTTTTGCACAGTGCAGCCCTGATTCTCCTCTTCTGGGGTCCCCCGTCAGCTCTTCAGTCTCCTTCTGCCTTTAGAGTGCCCCCTATAGCAAGCTGCAAAGTATAGTATAGAGTGCCCCAATAGCTGGTAAAAAAAAAAAAAAAAAAAAAAACTTTTACCTTTTAGAATTACTCAGTTCCCTCTCCTGCCCCAGAACTACATGTCCCACAAGGCATTGCTCCTCACACATTAAGTTTTCAGGCACTTACTGACATATATAGATGGTGTACTGAGCTGTATATGCTGCACCGTATTTTCTGATATGTAAACAAATAATGTATTCTGCTAACCAACTAATTGATTATGAAAATAGTTGACAACTATTTTCATAATCGTTTGTTGATTTGTTGTTTCATCCCTAGTACATAGCATGCTTACGGTCCTGAACCTGTTAAAAACACAAATGACCTGAATTGAGATATTGTACTTTAAGAAAGAAAAATATTTGTAAAGCATTGAATGTGACATTCACTCCAGTTGAATCGTCCTGGTGAATGCATTTTAATTGTGAATGATGCGCCACCATTGAAGGTCACATCCACTGCTTTTTTAAATATGTCCATCAGTGTTGACATAGAAGCTAATCAGTTGTAAGTTGTAGTTTTTGCAGTCAAAGCTTGAAAATCGAATAAAGACTCTTAATTAGTTGTGTTGGGGGAAAAAGAGAATGATCCTATTACACACTTGTCCTATATTAGTGCAAATGTCGTAATATAACTTTATAAAGTTTGTCTGACAAGGCTTCTTTAAGGCATGCATTTTACTTTGTCACCATGTCTACAAGTTGTTAGAGTGGTACAGCAACTACAGCAGTCATGTGTAAACAGAACCATTTGTACTGGGAGTCTGAGTGAAAAAATAAGCAAGTATTGCATCCCTACAGATACAGTTTCTGCTGCTTTGTGATTTACGGGAGGGTAGGTACTTTTGGTCTTTCAGTGTTTTTTAAACATAAAAGTATAATTTAGCATTGGATTGAATGGGAAAGATTAAAAGCCTTTTTTCTGGTTTTGTTTTCTTTTTTTTGCTATCCTTTAGCAGGACTTCTTTAGAGTGGTTTTCCCTCGCTTACGATCACTGGAACAACAGTTTCACCAGATAGGAAGTTGGGGTTACATTCTGCAACAAAGACGGAAATAAAAAGCAGACTGGGTTTACTAACCTTTCCATATGCAACAAAAAATATATATTTTATTTCTGTTTGAGTTACTGTTGGAGATTTTCTTTATTTACTGTCTGTTAAAATATTGTTCTAATCTTTCCCCCTTTTGTAAGAAAAAAATAGCTGGTCATACACTTTTAAGTTGAAAGCAATATCCTATAAATTTTCCAAATTGTTTTTTGTTTTTCACATGCAATACTCCTGTTTGCTTAACTGTTTAACTTTTTATTATGCCTTTCAGAGGGGGAAGATAACATGGATGAAGATATGGATGATGACAGACCTCTAAATGCATTACCAAAACGTCAGAATCCTGAACTTCTGAAGATGGTACCGTCCAACGCAGCTTCCCACAATCACCATTCCACTGTACTGCCTCAACATGTCTCCATTCAGCAGAAACAAGCTCCCTCTCCTCATGCACAGACCCTCTCCAGTCAAGCACTGGTCCCGCCTCAGGCCATAGTGCCAGCACAGACTCATATTGTGGCTGCTTCCACAGTGCAGTCAACTGTGATAGCCCACACAGCCACCACTCATGCGTCCGTTATTCAGACTCTAAACCATGTCATCCCAGGGCCTCAGACCAAGCACATTGCCCATATTGCACCTTCCACGTCAAGCCCTGTACAGCTAACCACTGCTGCTCAGCCAATTGGCCACATCACTGTGCACCCAGCTGCCATTAATCACATGACCCATCTTAGCCAGCAGCTACCCATTTACCCGCAGTCTGTTGCAGTCACCCAGCCCATGGTGAGCCACATTGCTCACACCATCTCCCACCCACAAGTCAATGGAACCACAAACCTTGGCCAGCCTGCTGTTATGGCAAAGCCAACCGTAGGAACCCAGGTGGTCCACCATCCCCAGTTAGTTGGGCAGACAGTCCTGAATCCGGTGACTATGGTAACTATGCCATCGTTTCCTGTCAGCACTTTAAAGCTAGCTTAACGCTCAACTATAAAAATAAATGAATTAGAGGAAACCATCTTGTTTTCTGTCACAGCCACAACTTCCATCCAGTGATGAGGGCAGGCATTATTTGACTCCTAGAAGCATTGCTTCTTCTGGGGCAGGGTAATACATCTGCAGTATCAAACAAATGACTTGTGTTTCTGGGAGTAGGGCAATGGCAGCCTTCAGTAATGGAAGGAAGGTTTGGTTGGGCTATGGAACAGCCTTCCCTGAAAGGTTCCCTTTAGTTTATATAAATTCATTTATCCATTGGACAGCGGAAACTCCATACATTCCTACCAAGTCATGTACCAAGGAAGAGCTGCGTAGTCGTGTTGACCCTCATTGGCTTTGGAAAAGGTGTCAGGCTTCATTGTATAGGCCTCTGTCTTCACACAAAGGGCACAGTGCCCTGGATTTCAACCATGTTCATTGTCTCCGTGGCCGCTGCTCATAATGACTATTTTCATTTTGTCCTTTCTACCAGTAATTGGTGAATATTAAATGAGACTTTTAATTTCTATCCGCTACTTCACTTACATTTTTTTTTTTTTTTTTTTTTTTATTCAATTTTTATTGTGTTGTCGTCTTTTTGTGTATCTTTGTAACATACAAATCGATGACCTCTTGCTAATATAAGAAATGAAATGGTTTTAAAGTAAGCATAATGTCGGTTTATACCTTCACTGAGGTGATAGCTGCAGGAAGTATACACTAATGAAAAGCTTTTTAAAAGAGCAAGTAAACAATAATAGAAGAAAAAAAATAATTTAAGTTAATTTTTTTCCTGTCTCCGAGGTGAAAAACGTGGGGCAGAAAATGAATTACGGTCTTTCTATTTATAAACATTTAGTTATTTAAATTTTTTGTTGCATCAGTGCCTTCTTTGTAACACATAAAATTAGCTTTTTAAAACTTATTGTCCCTGCCTTTTTAGGACCACTAAAGGCACACTTCATTAATTATCTTAGAAAATTGAAAACGGAGGGAGGTTTATTTTGAAGCTTTTCTGGTTTACATTAACCACATTGGAATCATAGTTACTGCCTGCCTCAGTCCCGCCCCCCTTTTTCTAGGGACATTTATAAAAGCTAGCTCAAATGAAAAAAAGTGGTACTTTTCATGTCAACTAATACTTTTTATTTATTTTTTTTAATCGAAAAAAACTCTAGACATACATTTTTGTTTTGGTTAATCCCATTGGGATCTATATACTAACATGGTAGCAAAAGCATTAAAGTACATTTACCCATATTGACCAATCAGCTTTTAGTGTAGCCATGCCAAGGAATGCCGAATCCTGATTGCTTTCTTTGGGTTACTGTATTTCTATTACTAAAGACCAATACTTTTCCTTTGAGCCAGTTCTTATAACATAACTAAGATCATCTGTGTTCTTTACTTTCTTATCGGATTGATTTTGCAATAGAAAAATATTGTAAAACAGAGCAATGTATTAGAATGTTTACCGCTAGTAACTAGCGTGTGAAAAAGAAAATAACACAGATAAAATTTACATTCTGATCACTGAATGTTTAAAATTTACTGTTTTCTTTTTATTAATGTCACCAATCATTTTACAAATTTCCCAATACAATGTCAAGGTATATTGTATTTTGTCCTAGTAACTATATATGCAGTATATACTGTCATGAACAACAGTCATTTTGCTAGCAAAGCTGGCAGTTACAATAGTGGAGTCAATAACAGTAGTCTGAAATCTAACATTTAGATATTTATTGACACCCCTTTCCGTTAATCGCTGTCGTCCCAGTGGCCTCTGTTGGCTATTTACTTTTTGTTTTACTTTACTTTTTAATTGTAGAGCCAATTACCCCATAACTGGAGAAAAGGTGAGTGGCCATGGCTGCTAGGATATTGGTGATTACAGGGAATGGTGTCAGCCCTACAGTCATGAACCTCAACATGCAGAACAATATGAATGTCTTCCATTTGCACCAGGTCTCATGGTTTACAGCTTCATTGATGGCCTGTTCACACTGTTGCGCTCTGTAAGTGCACACATGTTGTTAGGGGCAACCTATTTATTTGAATTGGCTTCCTGATGCACTAAAACACATCAAAATTGCTGCATGCCGTATTTTCAGCAGCAAAAGTGCATTGGGAAGGTACAGTGGGGTGCCATGCAGAACAAATGGTGTGAATAGGCCCTTACACTGCACACAGCGAGAGAAATTACTGCACCATTCAACTTGGAATAATTTGCATTGTGTGATGGTCTCTCTTGAGCTTGCCCAAACTGTCTGGTAGCATAAGCTCAACAGCAGTGATGCCATGAAAAATCTAATTGCTTGCTGAGGAATACTGAACCTGGCACTTTGTCATTGAGCTATTGAATGAGCACAAATGAGATTGTCCCACCGTCGACTCAGAATTTTCTTGACCTAAACTGGAACTATATTCACCTTTTATCCAGCGCCGCACTATCCCAGAGGTCCCGCCAGTCACTGTCCTCTTCAGACGAATTGGCTTCCGGGTACCAAACTTTGGCTATTTTCATTGCTGACAATTGTACACTGAGTTTCTCATGCGCAAATGAGAGGGCACACAGGCAGGCATTGGAATTTTATTGCAGGAGAGACATATTACTTCTCTTCTGCATTAAAATTCTGCCGGTTTGCAACATTTTATTTTTTTTTTTCTTACCTAAAGTTCCCCTTTTAAGGCTTTGACTGTGTGTATAGTTCAATCACTAGTTATGAGTGAAAAACCCCTTAAAAACATTTTGTACATCATTCTCATGTGGCTCGATCTACTCTGTAGCTGAGGACTGCATATAGGTGTGATATGCATGAACAGTATGCCTCAATATACGTTGTTGGCCATGCACAGTGTAGGAATCTGTACTGTAGTTTATAATGCATGACTTCAGTCCTTGAGAGCTGCATAGCCAAGATTTTTAATTGACTGCATTAGTTTGCTTTGGAACCTATGCATAGCAAAGAAACAGGTTCTTATTGTTCTGACCCAATGCCCAGTAGCATATACTTATGTTCATTTTGTTCCCTCACCGCTCCGTTGAGTGAGGAAATCAGCTTAAATCGCATTTCCTGTTGGACTTTATACAAGGCAGGCAGTCTTCAATTCTCCATGCCACAGTGCTAGGCTAATCACCAAGCACTAATTTTGTCATATGGGGCAAGACGCATGCTCGGTCATTCTCAAAAGTAATAGTATTTGCTGCTGAGGGATCAGGAATTAAAGAGGACCTTTTTGTTTTAAAATGCATGCACAAACACAGATCGTCTTTACAGGGAACAGTCAGAATCAAAAAGCGCTGACATTTCTGAATTATTTGTATAGGTGCAAGCCCTGGGCCCTTCATTCCCATCCTTGCTTTACTGCTTAGTGAATCATTCACCCAACAACCAATCTAAACTTTTAGTATAGGACTTTCTAGCACATGGGACGCACATAATTTACGGCATATTTTCCCCCACTCAGGAAGCCCAGGTGCTGAGTACAGCCGCTTATATTCGTGAATGGCTGTACTCGGGTATACGGCAGTACTCGTATAAACACAAGTATAGTGTACAGGCATATTAAAATTTTTTTTTTTAAATTAGTACCACTGTATACAAAAGTATAGCCACACACAGATATTCATGCTTATTGGCTGCTCTATGCAACACCTGGGCTTTCAAAATAAGTCAGTTACAAGTAATAAGTTACACTGCAGAGGCTCAGGTTCCCATGTTCAAAAAGCCTAAACCATTTGTATATATTCCTGGTGCACAAAAACAAAAGGTGTACAAAGCTAGAGCTCTCCAGTCAGGAGGGAATTTGTTCTGCTGCCTGCAAAGCTGCAGCATGCTGGAAGGGGACAGGCTTTTCTACTTTTTCTGTGGCTGCTTTCTAAAGAAAACAAACTAACTTTTTTTTTTGTTTTGATGCACATGGAATGTATTTAGCTTATTTAAAATGGTTGTAAAGGCTGAAGGTTTTTCACCATCATGCATTCTATGTCCCTGGCCCCCTCAATACTTACCTGAGCCCCATCGCGATCCAGCGATGTGAATGACAGCCTCGGGTGTCCTGGGTCTCGGCCTCCTCATTGGCTGGGACAGCAAGCAGGAGCCATTCTATCCGTGTGAATGGACACACAGATCAGCGGGTTCCCCCCATAGCAGGCTGCTTGCTGTGGGGGCACCCGACGAGGGAGAGGCCAGGAGAGCCTGCGGGGGACCTGAGAAGAGGAGGATCTAGGCTACTCTGTGCAAAACCACTGCACACAGTAGGTAAGTATAGACTTTTAGAATCGCTTTTAAAAAGCTGATCCCATAGTTAGTCTTGTTGAAAAAAAAAAAGACACAATTCCATGTAGCTCAACCGATAGAAGGGAAAAAAAATTCTATACAATTGTATATATACACAATTCTGTACCAACACTTGATGCAGAGGAAGGAATGTTTCAATTGGGCTTTAAGGGTCCATTCCACCTGCAGTGTAGTTAACACGCATTTTGTGCGTTGGTGAGCCGAAATGCCATTTATTTTGAATGGCATCCCAATGTACCTGCGTTGCACCCTAATGTGATGTAAAAATGATGTTAGGTCCGTTGCTGTGCATTAGGCCCCTGATTTATTTAATGGGCTGGCTGTGTACATTCACGTCTATGTATTAAATGCACCGCCATGAACCTGACTGGCATGAATAGGACCTAAGGGCTCCAACATCACTAACTGCATAATTAAGGTTGGTGACTCGCTAAGCAGAGAAGCAAGGATAAAGATTACAGCCCTGGAGTTTTATCAATAAAAGCAAATCCTCAGCAGTATGTTTCATATTTCTAAATATTCTGACAGAATCCCTTTAATGAGTAAAGCCTCATTCACACGGGAATACTGATCTGTACACCTATGTGAAGTTCCATCATTGACCGTATGGGATGCACAGGTGTTTCATTCAGGCAGTCCCATTCATGTCTATTGGGAAGCAGCAGCTGCACAGACATAGCTGCTGGTCCCTATTTGACA